CATCTGGGTCAAGCGTCAGCGACATCTTCTTGTGAATGCAATGGAGCGATGAGAGAGAAAGGATGCGTATGAGTCTCACGGTGGGAGCCCGTTCCCACAATAAAAAGCGCTTTTCTCTGCCATCGCTGCGTATGCACAAAACTAATGAAAAAATATGTTGCTTTGCCAGAGCTGAATGAGACAAAACAAATAGCCGTACGTAATTACGCAGCGCAGGGTCTCCCACAGATACGGAGAAATAGATGGTCACACATTAAGTTAGTAAGCCAGGTGTATTTGTATAGCGCCTTCACAGAGCAGGATCACAAAGCGCTTCACATAAAAAAAAAAAAAAAACATAGATGAAAAAAACACACAAGTCAGATTTAAAAACGAAGAGACAGAAAAGGGACCTCATCATGAACGTATCATGATCTGTGATCTACTCGAAATGTGCGTGTTTCCATTAGAGTTTTTCTAATTTTGAAACATGATGCTCAAAGAAAACGCAGGTTACAATTTTGCCAGGGTGGGAATATGTTTATTGTTGTCCAAATCTTGCATTTCATGCATGTTTTGGCATGTTGTAATGAAGATTGAAATGATTTGGTGTAAATTCTGTGCGTATCGTACGCTCACGTCCAGATTGATAAATGCCGAAAAGTGTAATTTTTTTGCGTACGCCTCATTTACACCCTGATTTGGGCGTACGCAAGCTTCATCCATGAGGCCCATAGTCCACATATTCCTATTTAATAAGTTTGATCTAAAGCTAATTATCCAACCAGAAGGCAGAATTAGAATGTCATTTGAGTGGCCAGATGAAACCCTTGGTCTTAATCTGGAGTCATTTCTTCTCCATTCACGGTATTATCAGGAAACTCAGCCACTTCTAAGTGTAAAAATGAACACATTGTATTTGTTCTTCAAAGCTTCAAAAATGTGAAACATTAACATTCTATTTAGAGTGGTCTTCATGCCGATTTCACGCTTCCTCGAATCTGTGTCAAATGTCTTTTTATAGGCCAGCCTACAACTCAGTACACACATTAAGAAGGGGTGGACTATCTTTGCAGAGAAGTGCTCAGTGAAACCGATTTGCGAAACATATTTGATTGTCTATTGTGCATGTAGATCAAATTAAATAGATTATAGTTGAACTATTGAAAGATGAGGGCAAAAACTATTTCTCAATTTACATTGTTGTTTTATATTTGCAGAAAACATTTTTTGTGTTTCTAAATATACTGTCACATTTTGTTTTTTAAACACACAGAATATTATAAAAGAATATTTTGAGTAGTCGTTTAATACAAAAAGGTATCTTTACATCTTACATGTGTTTGCAAGACAACCACAGGAACTAGTGGTATAAAATTACATTTCCAAAAAATGTGGATGTACTTTGACCTTCAGTCCGCTCTACATATTAATGTTTTGTTTGTGATTATCTCCATGTAATGCAATTAATCACATGCAATTCATTGTGTGATGTGTTACATTTGTAAATACTCTGTAAAAATAGAAAAAAAGGGATTAATTTTCTTCAATGGTTATAAAACTGTTTTATACACAATAAACCTAACACCCTACCTGGTCCTGGGCTGAGGTTTGGCAGCTGTGTTTTGACCAGGGGGTCTGTAAAGGGAACCGTCGGCCTTTCAGAGGAGGAGCACGTCCTGTAGTTTTCTATCAACATTTGCAGTTTGTGAAATGTCTGTGTGTTCAAGCCCTTTTCAACAGAAATAAAATCACTGCTTTGAATTGTCAGCACGATATTGTGTTATTTGTGTGTTGGACTAACCTGAAGGGACCAGCCGTGTGAAGATTGTAAGAGTCGGTAGGTGTGAACAAAAGGGGATTTTCTGTTAAAAGAAAAAAGGCAGAACTCATGTAAGCTCTTCACCACTGTATCTCTATTTATGTCTGCATAGTATTGTCTTATCACATAATAATGCTATATTTTTAGACAGTTTTAGGACCTTAAGAACAGTGGTATTCTTCAGAAAAGACTTGCAACATGCAGCGCAAAAAGAGCACAAGGAGCGCAAGTCGTACTGTGCGTCAAGAACCTTTCTCTCCCATAAACTTTCTCGATCAATTGTATTGCGATGGCAACATGTTTCAAATAATAATAATACAAAAAAACAATGGTCATTGGTCAACACAGGAATAATTAAATTGGTGATGTGGCATTCATTAGTGATGCATCAGGGTTTCCAAATCATTACACTGGTCATTATTCAAAACAAAATATTTTGAATCAGGGAAAGTACTGCTGGCCTCACCTGATGCATAGGCAGTAGGCTCCAGGTAAGGTCTCACTGTCCCGCAGCAGGAAGCTGCCATCGCGCCCGAAACACTGCAGTAGTTGTTCTGTGTCTTGTCTGCTGATGGGGCCGTAATAAATGGAGGAGATGAATTCTCCCTCCTGCTCCATGCTCCAGAGACTGACAGCTGAGCTCAGAGGAACTCGACTGCAGCAGCGACAGACTGTGAGAAAGGATATGAGCCTCTTCATGGTTTTCACACTTGTGTGCGGCCTACATGGCAAGAATGCACTTTGTCTACCTTGAGCAGCTGCACCCCGCCACATTCACAAATAAGATAAGGACAAAAAAGTACAGGATGTGGACCGTCTGTATAAGACTCAACAACATAACAAATAAAATCATATCAGACAAATAAAAGTAATACAATAAAAAAAACCTCAAAATTCAACAAATTATATTCCATTAGTTCAAGCCAATAAAAAGTATTTGTTGGTTTCATATTGTTATTTTGGTTCTGCTGAAAGGATTTGATTTTAGACCCTGAAGACATGCACGAATGATGGCACGAGGCATCTAATGCGACCGCTTCGGCGAAGAATTTCATAAAATGAGTGTTTCGAGACGAACACCGACTCTATATCGCCCCCTGGAAATATCAAATTTGCAAAGCCTATGGGAGCCAGAGACATGCATGTAGTAGGTACTAGGGATGTACCGATCCAGATTTTCTGTAATCCGATCCGATACGATCAAATTTTTCTAATGTTTTCAAAGCATTAAAAATTTTGCAACCAGTATTACTTAAAAAAATATATATATTATAACAAGACCAAAAATATTGTTTGGCTTTTGGTTAACAGATCTACTGAGTTAGAATATAAATAAGAATCACATCAGTATTGAATATTTAACGTTTATAATAAACATAACATAAAAGAAATAAAGAGGAACAATTATCAAAAAGCTGCACTCAACATTCAGTATAACAAAAAGAAAAGAGCTGGTGCATAACTGTTGATACGATTGATGATTGTGTAGAACTCTAATGCGTTCTCCACAGTATTCTCGAGTGTTCGTGAACTCACAAATACCGCGAGAATTCAGCTTGCAGGCAAGGTTAGCTGAACTGAATGACCACAAAAAGCCAGTACTTAACCAGTGTGTGAACTCTGTAAACTCCCTGATAGCAAAAATAATCAAATACAACAAGGCATATGTGCTACATTTAACCTTAAATCAACTCAAAACAATAATACAAATATTTCAAATATTTTTTTCTTGTTTTTTTTTTTTACATACAGATTTTAAGGACAGTAAATACAATAAAGTCAGCATGTTTCCAGCATTGGCCTCCTAGGTCCTGACCTCTAGTCCATTATCTAAACCCATTATTTCTAAAGAAGTGAATAGAAAAACAGCCCCCCCCCCCCATTCCTGCCGGGAGGAAAAATAAAATAAAGTAAAAATAATAATTATAATAAATCTTATAATTATAATAGTAATACAAAGAAATAATAACAGCAACAAAAAGAAAATAATAACCTGATTAAAGTAATACTAAAGTAATTTACACAGAAGGGACAGTTATCATGAAATTAAATTACAATAATAAAATATTGTTAACGCTGGTTCAGCCACGGTTTCTCCTTCGAAAAATGGACCACAAATTCTGCTTAGATATATAAAAAAGGGTTTAATATATAAAAAGACAGAATATAAGATACAGACAAGTGGCAGACTGCTTGATCAGTCTGGGCCCTGCTCCCTGGCACACCCAAAGCAAAAGACCCTGTTTCAAGACAGGCTATCGATGAAAAGCACACAGTCACATGACATGATAATTGAAAACACATGTCTCACCATCCTTAGGTGAACACAATAGCTCCTTTCTCCAAAACACACAGTAGCCCCTCTCAAAGTAAGCCTGAGGCTTACTCTAAACAGATGTTCTCTGGTCCTTGCCTTAATCTAACTTCCTGTGTATAATAGCTGGGGGTTTGACTCCGCACATTCTTCACCCTGCCTGGATCAATACTACTAGTTTTTAGATCCACACTAGACTAAACGTTACATTTATTAATATGATAATAACACAATAACATACTCCATTGACATAATTCCCCCCTATTCATAATATATAAATGTAAAGTTTTAAACATCCAGCATTACATCTCTTCTCAGTTTTCTGCAATACCTTCATAACAAACTTACACAGAAATATCAAAATTATCATCTACATTTGTGTGAGCTAACAACGCTTGACATTGATCCGAAAACAATGTGTCTGCAACTGCAGTGTTTATCATCCTGTTGGTTAAAGACTTCGCACATGGCAACAAACAAGTGACAAATATGCAAAATAAAACCAAAATCATTATTGCAGGTGTCGCTATTTTCAATATCAGTTGCCACCATGCTCCAGTAGAAAACCATGACAATAAGTCCCAATTCATGTTGTCATTGTCTCGCTCACTTAGCATCTCAGTTTTAAAACTTTTTAGTCGATCCAAAATTAGTGAATAATTTGAGTTGGATGATGGAATGAACGTACAACAATGATCCTTAATTAACTGACACACACCACCAGTTTCAGATAAAACAAAATCTAATGCCACTCGATTCTGCATGATCATTTGACGCATAGCCTCTTTCTCTGAATCTCCCCTGATTTGTTCAGTGAGGTCCATGACAATATTAGTCAAATTCTCCAAATTCCATGCAATATCATTCATCCTATGACTTAAATATGCAACTCCATACATGGGAAGGGCTGTCATGAACACTCCTCTTACATCTGAGATTAAAGGTGGGCTTCTGGCCGCTGTGGCAGCAGCCCTTTTCTGCCTCTGGCCCAAGTGCTGTGTCAAGTTATCACTTGAAATGATATAGGAGGCCGGACCTAGGGTGGCCAGATGACAAGTTCCACACCATCTCTCTGGAAGCCACAGATACACTTTATCTCCACAAACCCACACCTGGTTTGACGGGCATGGATAGCCCCAAAACCCCGGGACCTCCACCAAAAAAGCTGGGTATGAGTGCCAGTTGGCCACTCCACTGACCTCACCCACTTTAGTGAAATTAATCACTGGGAACTCCCGTGCGGTCGGAGTAGTAGTGAAGTATAATCTGTGATGTATCTCAGAGGTTTGTTGGTTATATGTGGCAATAGGCAGAACATCATCACAGGTGGATGTTCCTACATATTGGTTAGCATCCTCCCAGGGCCCCGGCACATTGCATTTCCTACTCAGACACAGAGGAGAATTGGCTGGAAATCGAGCCACAGTTACACCCTTCTCATTAGTCATATTTGTACTTAAAGAAAAGTTCAATGGAACTCTCCAATCTGCTACCTTTTGAATTGAAAGAGTAGTGCAATTTGGCAGCCATTCCACATATTTAGAGTAGTTCATGCCAATTGAATGTAAGGTATAAAAAGCCATAGTGCATATAGTTGTTAAAGCTGAGACTGGATGTGGTGTTATATAAGGATTTGAATTTGAATGATGAGGAACAAATGCACAAACATAACAATCTGACATATTATTTGCCTGAGCCGTTATTTCAGCCATGCGATACCAGTAGTTGTCTTTATAATGATCTACATCTATTTCTGCTCTAGCTGTACGCTTGACATTGTTATATTGTTGACTCCCCCACCAGAGCAGTGATGGAACCACAATAACTATCAATGTAATCAGTATTATTAGACCACTACTGCATCGAAGTCCATGTCGAGTGGAGAATACTTTGAAGACCATCTTGTAAACAGTCCTTTTTGAAACAGTCCAATTCACCAATATCACAAGATGAGAGGTTACCAGCACATCATCAAGTTGTACAAACTGCGTTTCTTGTGCATTAAACCACTGGAGGATCTCCCTGCTTCACTGACTGTTGAGACGAGCACATCTGCCCCCCTTTGTAGGTCAGCCTTCCCCTCCGCTGTGGTTGACACAAAATCTCTCAGATCTCTCTTTTTGCAGTGTGAGAGGTGAATCCACGTGGGCCTTTCTGCTATCTTCACAGCAGTGGGTGTCGTCAGAAGCACTTGATGCGGACCTTCCCACCGTGGACTGGACCAGGACTTTCGTTTGATGACTTTAACAAACACCCAGTCTCCAACTCGAACAGGCAGCTCCTGTGCACAAAATGGTTGACTCGGAACATTATTTGTTTCTTGACACGCTCTAGTCAATAATGTTTTTCTCATATAGTCAGCCAACGTAGGATTATCATCAGGAGAGAACTGCTTATTTGGCTGTAAATCTGGAAGTGTGTATGACCTACCATATAATATTTCAAATGGTGTCAATGCACTACCCTGAGTAGGTGTTATATGCATGCTTAACTGTACCAAGTCTATGCATTCAGGCCATTGTCTGTTTGTTTCCTCCATGCATTTCCTCAATTTAGCTTTAACAGTGCCGTTATTTCTTTCAACTAAACCTGCACTTTGTGGATGGTAGCTACAATGTCTTTTTAGATTTATGTTGAGATTTTGTCCCACCTTATCAATCACATCATTTACAAAATGTGTTCCATTGTCACTCCTGATAACTCTGGGAATCGAAAATGTTGGCACAATTCTTTTACATATTGCTTTAGCCACTGTTAGAGCGTCCGGAGAGTGACAAGGAAACAATTCTACCCATTTGGAAAATGCATCAATAATCACGAGGCAATATTCCAAATTATTCACTTTATTTAACTGGATAAAGTCCATGTGGATTTCTTCAAAAGGAATGTGTGGGTTTAGGAAATACCCCCCTTTTTGGTCTCATATTTCCTTGTGAATTGTGTTTTATACAGATTACACACTGATTACAAAAATGTTTTGAGTATAAATTGTACCCATATGTTGTGTAATATTTGTTCACCAATCCACACATACTTGCAGAAGAAACATGGGTTACTCCGTGGCTCACTAAAGCCGCCCATTTAAACATTGATTTAGGTAGAACTGGCTTATCGTTTGGACCCATGTACAAACTCCCATTGAATATAGCTCCCTCTTTAAGCCATTTCTCTTTTTCTGCTTTTGGCGCTTGTTGCTGCATTTCTTTTAAAAGATCGTCAGAATCTTGTGTTTCTTCACTAAGCAGTAATCCTGTTACCTCTTTTGCAGCTTTATCAGCTGTGTCATTTCCTGTTGACACTTTGTCTGTCCCTCGCGTGTGAGCTTCACATTTACATACAGCAAGCTGCTGTGGCAACATTATCGCTTTGAGTAAATTCTTTAATA